TGTAGAGAAGACCACATGATGAACAGTGAATACAGTAGACTAGATTGAACAAAGTGCAGGTAAAATGCTGCTTCATCTGGATGGAAGCCTCAGATGGTGAGGAGGGGAGAAGCAAGTGTTGCTTCTTCTGTGATAGTTTGGGAAGCTGCCTTGGGGAGGTGTTAGGACTGTTGTAGAGGTGGACCAAGGTCTTTTGAAAGGAATGACCCCTGTAAAATGATGACAAGGCAAGAGCGGGCAATGGGTGTGTGTCACAGCATTCTACTAGAGGAGGCTTATGATCCTTTGGATGTGAGTGCCGAGGGGGGTGGGGGTGGAGTGAGGACCATGGGGACTCTATTGGTGTTGTGGGAAGGAAGAGAAGGGGTGAGGCAGAAATGTGGGAAATGAGTTGGATTACTGTAGCATGCTATAATCTATGCCTTTGTCTCTCTGTTACTGTCTCTCTTTAGGCTCATCCCTGTCTATCTACTCGCTGTTCTAAGCACCTCCCCTGTTGTCTTCAGCATAAATGCCATCTTTTCCTAGCTACTGTCAATTCTGAAGAAGGGTCTCTGGACTTAAAACATTAACTCTGCTTTCTCTCCTGTTGAGTTCCTCCAGCAAATTCTGATTTTGATGTTTCCTTCCATGTTTGGTTTTTGCATGTTAGTCCTAATGTGTATAAGATGAAAAGCTTAGTTTTTGTTTTAGCAATGCTTTAAAGTCTGTACTACAAGTTGATTTCTGCTTTGTAATTTGTTTTCAAGTTTTGTTAGGCTTTCCCAAAGTAATCTCTTTATTGTTAACTGCACAGTTCACATTACCACACAGTCCTCTCCTGTGTCTAGTGAAGATGGGAAAATAATCCTCAGGTGAGGTGCCAGAGGACTGGAGTAATGCAAACGTGGTTCCATTGTTTAAAAAGAGTGCAAGGGAAATCCCAAACAATTACAGGCCAGTTAGTCTTACTTCAGTGGTGGACAAATGTTTAGAATCAGTCCTGAGAGATTGGATAAACTATCATTTAGGAAGGCATGGACTAGTCGGTGATAGTATGGCTTGTTAAGGGAAGGTCAAATTTAAATGGATTCTGTGAGGAAGTCACATGGAGAATTGATGGGGATAATGCAGTGGATGTTGTCTGCATGGATTTTGAGTAAGGCATTTGACAAGGTCCCACATGACAGATGAGTCAAAAAATGAAACTGCATGGAATACAGGATAATGTGTCGAATTGGATCCAAAGAGACAATGGGTAATGGTCAATGTCTGCCCTTGCAAATGGAAAGCTGTTCCAAGTAGTGATCTGCGAGGCTTGGTGTTCAAACCTGTGTTGTTTGTTTTATGAGATAACAAGATGTACAGCTGGATGAACACAGCAGGCCAAGCAGCATCAGAGGATCAGGAAAGCTGACGTTTTGGGCCTAGACCCTTCTTCAGAAAAATGTTTGTTTGTTTGATGATGTGGAGGTGCCAGTGTTGGACTGGGGTGGACAAAGTCAGAAGTCACACCAGGTTATAGGCCAACAGGTTGATATGAAATCACCGAGCTTTCAGAGCGCTGTTCCTTCGTCAGGTGAAATGGAGGGAAGCACATACATCTCTGTCTATAAATTCTGGACCTGTGCGCTTCCCTCCACTTCACCTGAAGAAGGAGCAGCACTCTGAAAGCTTGTGATTTCAAATAAACCTGTTGGACTATAACCTGGTGTCATTTGTTTTATACATTAACAATGTGGACTTGAACGCTGGATGGTGGGGGCGGGGGGGGCACAATTAGGAAATTTGCAGACAGAGAGAGGTAGTAGTAGCCCATGTGATGACAAGGCCTGGCGTGTGGGCGGGGTAAGGTGCCGTAAAATTATTGAACTTGATATAAAGCCTTGAAGGATGCAGGGCCCCAAGCAAAAACTGAGCTGTTGTTCTTCCAGTTTGCGTTGAGCTTCACAGTGGAGCACTGCAGCAAGCCTGAGACAGAGAAGTGGGCCAGGGAACATGGTGACCTTGAGATTCCAGTTGCCTGCCATTTCAATACACTATTTTGTTCTCTACAATCTCATCAAAAACAACAATTAATTATTCATTAAAACTGTTACACATGGCATAATTCTTCAAGTTCATGCTTGTCAATTAAGGCAAGAAAAATGTAGATTAATTTTGATTTTGGTGGGTGAAAATAAGATTGTACAGAGCAGCAATGAGCAGTGCACATTGAAGCAGGATGTAAGGCCCAACTTCCACAACAAATTATCAATAAATGTCCACAACCATTGCCAAGGGCAATGGAGACATGAAGCTCAGGCTTTGCTGATAGAGGGCTTGCAAATGCCTGTTCCATGCAAACCCTGTAACTGTATGTCTAGAGCTTCAAGCTATCGACGAGATATTTTTCAATGGTACAGCTTTTTCCTTTACATCTGGACAGACGGGGCTGCTGTACCATCTCTTACAGTGTGCGTATTGGTGGAGGCTCTTTAATTAAAAAAGAATAATAATAAATGGTTGGCATGGATGCAACTTCTCCCATTATCTAGATTTCCAAAAGGCATTTGACAAGGTGCTGCACAAAAGGCTGCTGCATAAGATAAAGTTGCACAGTGTTACGGGTAATGTATTAGCATGGACAGAGGATTGGTTAACTAACAGGAAGCAAAGAGTGGGGATAAATGAGCACTTTTCTGGTTGATGGTCAGTGGCTAGTGGTGTGCCTCAGGGATCTGTGTTGGGACCGCAATTGTTTTAATTTACATAGGTGATTTGGAGTTGGGGACCATGTGTAGTGTGTCAAAGTTTGAGGATGACACTAAGATGAATGGTAGAGCAAAGTGTGCAGAGGACTCTGAAAGTTTGCAGAGGGATATAGATAGCTTGAGTGAGTGGGAAAAGGTCTGGCAGATAGAGTACAATGTTGATAAGTGTGAAGTCATCTATTTTGCTAGGAATAACAGTAAAAAGAACTGTTATATGAAAGGTAAAAAATTGCAGCATGCTGCTGTGGGTGTCCTTGTGTATGAATCGCAGAAGGTTAGTTTGCAGGTACAACAGGTAATTAAGAAGGAAAATGGAATTTTGTCCTTCATTGCTAGAGGGATTGAGTTTAAAAGCGGGGGGTGGGGGGGGGCGGGGGTTAGGTTGCAGCCGTATAGGGTGCTGGTGAGGGGCACTGCATGCAGTTTTGGTCTCCTTACTTGAGAAAGGATGTACTGACACTGGACGGGGTGTGGAGGAGACTCACCAGGTTGATTCCAGGGTTCAGAGTGTTGGCTTATGAGGAGAGACTGAGTACACTGGGATTATATTCATTGGAATTTAGAAGAATGAAGGGGAATCTTATCTATTTCCTTCATAATTTATATGTTTCTATATGATAGAAGCAGGGAGGTTGTTTCCACTGGCTGATGAAACTATAGCAAGAGAGCATTGTCTCAAAATTAAGAGGAGCAGATTTAGGACTGAATTGAGGGGGGGACTTCTTCACCCAAAGGGTTGTGAATCTGTGGAATTCCCTGCCCAGTGAAGTAGCTGAGGCTTCCTCTTTGAATAGTTTAAAGCTAAGATAGATAATTTCTTGGACAGTAAAGGAATTAAGGGTTATGGTGAGAGGGTGGGTAAGTGGAACTGAGGCCACAAAACGATCAGCCATGATCTTATTGAATGGTGAAGCAGGCTGAAAGGGCCAGATGGCCTACTCATGCTCCTGGCTCTTACGTTCTTGCAAATTCTTTTGACAGCATGTTAGGTTTCACCAGGCAGATATGTTTAATCTGAAAATAAGCTGCTGAACCGTTACTCCTGTAAAAGTCAACTACTTGACGTTTTTAAAAATGGGTCTCATAAATTTGATGTTTAAATGGATTATATATAGTAGATTAATATTGCTTTGTTTACAAGTTTTGGAATGTTTGTTTTGAGATTAGGAAAAATTCTTCTTGTGATGGATTCAAGCAATATTGAACTATAAACAAATAAAGGTTCTGCATCAGAAGTCTACATCAATGCATATGTACAGCAACAAAAATATATTCCATAAACATGATGTTTTTCCATCTAAATTAACTCGTTTAGAAATATGGAAATGTAGAGATGAATCAGACCATTTAGCTCCTTGTCCCTGTACCACTAGGGAGGTCTTGGCTGAATTGAGAGCTTACTCCATATGCTTGCCTTCACTCCATATCTGTTAATAACCTTAATTCACAAGAATCTAACAAACTCACCTTAAAAACTATTAATCTTGTACAAATTGCTTTTTGTGCAATAGTTCCAAACTTTTACAAACCTTGTGTGAAGAAGTCTTTCCTAATTTCATTCTTGAGAAGGCTGGCTCTAATTTTTGACACAGCCTCCTGGTGCAATGATTCCTGACTGGCAGAACGTTTCACCCGCACTACCCTACCTGCTCCCTTAAACAGCTTGAAGATTTTGATCAATCACCACATAACATTAAAACTTCAGGAGATACAAACTTAGTTCGTAGAATCTCTCTTTTTAAATTAACCCTTGCAATCTGGGTTTCATTCTGGTAAACCTACATCGTAGAGCCTCCAGTATATGCTTTATAAAAAATGGTACATAGAACTGGTCACTTGCTGCAGCTGTCATCTAACCAGGGATTTGCTTCACTGAATATGACTTCTATCTCCTTGTATTCCATTCTCCTTTTATATAGCTTTGCATTCCATTAGCTTTTTGTCATTATTTCTGTGCCTGTTTAATTATTTATATACTTGAAGCCCAAGTCTCTTTGGACCTGCACTGTTTCTAGTTTTTTGCAATTGAGAAAATACCCTTTTGATCCCTTTTAAGTTCAAAGTGGAAATTTCATATTTATCAACATTGAAATTCCTTATCTCCATCCCCCAATATATCAATACCTTTTCAAATTTTTAATATTGCACAACTAAAACCCCAGCTATTGTCCAAAACCACATCTTGGTTTTGAAAGGTATCAGTGAAATTTATCAGTAATGTGATTTTAATTTCATATTTTCACTCAACCTTTGTGGTTCTGTTCCTAGGAAAGTTTAAGTTGCTGGATCAGGATCGAGATGTCAGGGAGCCTGTGCAGTATTTTAACAGTGTTGAGGAAGTGGCCAGTGTTTTTCCAGATCGTGTTTTCGTTATGGAGGCAATAACATTCAGCGTAAAGGTCAGTGATGTGAAAAGTGAGATTTATCTTTTCAGAAAGAACGATTTGGGATTTTTCGTGCATTTACTCGAGAGAAAATACTGCTAAAAATGAAATATCTTGCTACTGGAAAGCATCTTTTTCATGTAAACAGTAGAAGCATATATTAAATTGATCAATTTTAATGTCGTCTTCGTTGCAAACTGAAAAGATGCATGGAAACGATCAGTACATTGTGAGAAATATTGGAAGAGTAGATTTTCTGATTAAGTTGCATTTTCCTTCTATACACATAAAGGAAGAGAAGTCTGGAGATAAAGGTAGCCCATTACACAGTCATTAGCAATCAGTTATTAACTAATAACATCCTCTGGGCTAATTGGTGGCATTTCATAGATTCATAGAAGGGCGAAAGAGAAATGGAAGTATTAGTCTTGTCTGCAAGTTTGGTCATTTCTTCTTGGTGGCATTGTTTTGGAAGCTATCACAACTATTACGCAAACTCAATAAAAAAACAAAAGAACTGCGGATGCTATAAGTCAGAAACAAAAACAGAAGTTGCTGGAAAAGCTCAGCAGGTCTGGCAGCATCTGTGAAGAAAAATATCAGAGTTAACGTTTCAGGTCCGGTGACCCTTTCTCAAAACTGATGGTGGATGGGAAAACGTCAGTTTATATGAGGAAAAAAGGGAGGGGAATAGGGTAGGGAGTAAACAATAGGATAGAGCCTGAAGAGAGAGAAGAGCAGCTCTACAGACAAAGACTTGATGATGATCAGGCTGGGAGGGTGAATAGTGGTTAATGGAGACTGTTAGTGACTAACAACAGGGGGTGTGTAATGGCAGGCTATGTGGTAACAAGGCCTGGTGTGTGGGGTAGGGGGCTGGGACATGGGAGAGTTTAGGCCCTAAAATTATTGAACTCAATATTGAGTCCGGAGGGCTGCAGGGTCCCCAAGCGGAAAATGAGGTGTTTTTCCTTCAGCTTGCATTGGGCTTCGCTGGAACACTGAAGCAAGCCAGAGACAGAGTTGTTGGCCAGGGAACAGGGTGGTGTGTTAAAATGGCAGGCAACAGGCAGCTCAGGGTCTTTTCTGTGAGCAGAACATAGATGTTCTGCGAAGCGGTCACCCAGTCTACGCTTTGTTTTCCCACTGTAGAGGAGACCACTATTGTTATTGATATTGTTATTTTATATAGACTAAACATGTGACGAATTCATGTTTACCCTGGATACATTCAGTTTGAGTGTTTTAAATTATCTTTTAGAGGAACCAATAGGAATTAGAGGAAATCTCTCCACAAGTTAGAGGCATACTGATCACAAAGGAAGATTGTTGTGGCTTTTACAGTTAGTGTCCTACCCAGTGATCTTCAGTTACTTCATCACATGCTCCATCATATGGTTAGAAGTGGGATACACGTTGATGATTGCACTATAGTCAGCTCCATTTATGATTCTCAGATACTGGAGTAGTTTTTTTAGTATACATCAAGACCAGGACAACATTCAGACTTGGACTGATTAGTTGCAAGTGACATTCATACCACACAAGGACCAGGCAATGACCATCTCCAACACAAGAGAATCTAAGTATCTCTCCTTGACATTGACTAGAATTGCCATAATTAAATCTCCTATCAACATCCTGGAGGTTACTGTTGACTAGAAACTGAACGATACAGAGGGCAGCAGTGTGTGTTATTTACAAGATGCATGGCAGTAATTCATTTAGGCTCTTTCAAAAACACCTTTCAAACCCATAACTGCTACCACATACTGGAAAGACAGGGTGGCAGACACATTGGAACACCACCACTTGCAATTTCCCCTCCAAGTCATATACCATCAAGGTTTGGAACTATATTACCATTTCTTCATTGTTGCTGGATCAAAATCCTGAAACTCCTTTCCTAAAAGCATTGTGGGTGTACTTTTACTAGACGGACTGCAGTGGTTTAAGGACACGGTTCACCATCACTTTCTCAAGGGCAATTAGAGCTGAACTGCACATGCCAGCCTTGGCTGCATTGCCCACACCCCATGAAGGATTTTTTTTTACAACTTGTGAAATGGCAAAGTTATGTTGATTAGTTTAGGTTGTGCCAGTTAGTCTCCATTAAAATTAGCCAGTCAAAGATTTTTTTCCTATTTATTTAACAATTGGAATACTTTAAGGATGATGAGTGAATATTTGGACAAATACAACATGTTGTCTCTGATGTTGATGAATTTCCTTTAAATTAGTTTTAAGAATGATGCGTTTACTTGTACCACTTTAAGAGTATATCCCACTCTTTCCTCACAAATACAGGAATCTTTTCATTGCTGCAGTACAGAATGAAAAGCCACATTAGCAAAGCTCCACAGAACTTTCTCATTAAGATTCCAGTCCTTGTGTAGAATCCTTTGCACTGTTTATTGAAAAATCTAAATGTTTTTAGAAAAGGACTGAGATGTGTGTTTTGCTTTGCAATAAGTGCATAGACTGAGTTGTGGGCCGTACTTGTAGCCTGCGCAGTATACAGTATTCAATATATTTATCAAGAAGCCATTCAAACTCCTACACATTTCCTCATGTAAATGTCCATCCTACAAAAAGCTTCTACATTCCATATTTGCTCAGAAGTTGACGCACTATTTTCTTTTTCAAGTTAATACGAACAGTGAATAAAATAAGCGGTTAAATAAGGGATTTGAATAACAGTGTAGTTATCAGACAGTCACTCACCTCACCAATGCAATTAGATGCTGTTCCAAAAGTGTTTTTTTGGTGGTTGATAGTGGATTGTATTGCATCCTCCCTATGGTACTCTCAGATTATTAAAAATAAGACTAAGGGTACGTTTTGCTAATCATTCATGTTCAGATTGGACAGTTTGCTTTTTTAAAAACTCCTGCCTATTGCATGCATGTTGTGTCTTCAAACTTTTTCACTCTGGCTGAGTGTTTCTAGAAAGTAATTGGCCTCTGCTACATACAAGCGAACTTTAGTGTCTGCCTTCCTGCAAGCATGCCTTGTCTTCTCCTTATCATGTCATATTCATGTATCTTTTGCCTTTCTGTTGTAACCATTCTTGCCCTATGTCATGTGAGCCTATCACACACAAAGAAACAAATTCAATTGTAAATGATTCCATCCACTCATAACTATCCTAAAAATCAATGAAATATAAATAAATATAATTTCTTCATCTACCTTTCACATTGTGGCCATAGTTGGTACTGGTTGTGTTATTTTTGAATTATCAGCTTTTCAAAGTTTTGTGGGTTGGATTGAATACATTTGCTTAAATACATTAGCCTGCAAACATAGTGTATGGAGTGTGGAGAGTGTTATAAACTGAGAAAAAATATTTCAAAGTCATCCAGTCATGACAAAAATCCTAATGAAGTATAGCCATGTATCTGGACTATCAAAAATATCATCAGTATTTTATATACAGTGCAAGTAACAGTAACTAAACCCTTAGATTACTGATATTTTTCCTTTTGCATCCCTATATTTATGTGTTCGCTCTTGTATCGATACGCATCAGAGTACATATATAAATCTTTTCTTTCATTCATGAGATGAGGGCGTCACTGGCTCGGCCAGCATTTATTGCCTATCCCTAACTTTCAGTTAAGAGTCAACCATATTGCTGTGGGTCTGGAGTCACGTGTAGGCCATACCAGGTAGGTATGGCAGTTTCCTTCCCTAAAGGATGTTAGTGAACCAGATGCGTTTTTCTGACAATTGACAATGGATTCACGGTCATCATCAGATTCTTAATTCCATTTATTGAGTTCAAATTCCACCATATGCCATGGTGGGATTCAAACCTGGGTCCCCAGAACATTATCTGGGTCCCTGGATTAACAGTCCAACAATAATACCACTAGGTCATCGCCTCCCCTTAAAATCTACATGGTATTCCCATGTGTGTTTATGTTCCTGTGTGCTGTTCAGTGCATGTATGTATAATTCCTCCTTATTTGTGTATGTTTATATTAGAAAATGAAGATCATGTTGTAAAGCAACACAAAACTAGAATATTACAGAAATAGTGGTTTAACATTACATAATACAGCCAACCTTTGCAAATGTGGGAAGGTGATGGCCTCATGGTATTATCACTGGACTGTTAATCCAGAGACCCGGATAATGTTCTGGGGACCTGGGTTTGAATCCCACCATGGCAGATGGTGGAATTTGAATTGAATAAAATATCTGGAATTAAGAATCTGATGATGACCATAAATCCAATGTCGATTGTCGGAAAAACCCGTCTCGTTCACTAATGTCCTTTAGGGAAGGAAACTGCCATCCTTACCTGGTCTGGCCTACATGTGACTCCAGACCCACAGCAATGTGGTTGACTCTTAACTGCCCTCTGGGCAATTAGGGATGGGCAATAAATTCTGCCGAGCCAGCGACGCCCTCATCCCCTGAATGAATAAAGCAAATAAAAATATTGTGATGATAAGTACAGTTTTAAATAAAAGTGAATCAGTATAAATTACCCATTTCCCACAAATCCGGTTGGAGTTCTTGTATAGCCAGCTAAGTGATTAGTTTGTTGGTAATTTTTTAATACAGTTGAAATACAGGAATTCACATTGATGACATTCAGTGATATTACTGCTGCTGAATGCCCCACTATCAATATTCTGAAGATTTCCATAGATCCGAAACTGAACTGGACTACCTATATAAATGCTGAGGTCACTAGAGCAGATCAGAAGCTGGAAATTCTGCAGTGAACAACTAATGTCATGGCTACACAAAGCTTGTTCACTACCTACAAAGAACAAGTCAAGAGTGTGGTAGAAAACTGTGCAATTGAATGGATGAATCAGCTCTAACAACATTTAAGAAACTTGACACCATCAAGGACAAATAAGCTGATCTACTACCTTAAATATTCATTCCTCCACCAGTAATTCATGGTGTCAGCTGTGTGTACCATTTACAAGGTGCACCACAGCCCCTTCCTTGATGCTCCTTAAGAGCACCTTTCAAAAATTTAACCTTTACCACCAAGAAGGACAAGGATAGCAGATGCATGAGAACACCATGATCTGTGACTTCCTCTCCAAGCCCAACATTATCCTGACTTGGAACTATGGAATTCCATTCCTTGTACTCTAGGTGTAACTACACACCAAGGACTGCAGCAATTCGAGAAGACTACTCAACGTCACCTTCTTAGGGACAATTCGGAATGAGCAATAAGTGCTTACCTAGCCAATAATGCCCACATTGCTCTGAATAAACAAAAACTTTTAATTATAGATACAAGTTTAATCTTACAAATGAGTCCACATATTTTTTGTTATTTTTTTCTCCAAGTTTGAATCCAAGGGTAAATTTTTTAATCCTGCGCTAAGGGGAAGGGGGAGCACTGAAAGAGAGTGGAATTGGAGATTGCACCATAAAGCCAATTCTCAGGCCTGTGCTTTTCTTCAAGCACAGCACTTGTCTGGGAACAAGTGATTTACCAATCATCCCTCGTGTATATATAATCAATGGATTTTATTGTGTATCTCACTAACTTACTAGCAATCCTGTACCATCTCAATAGAGAAGAGATTCATTTTGGGAGGAAGACTAAGAAGTGACAAAATAAACTAACAGTACAATTTTAGAAGAGGTCAGAAAAATAAAAACATTGGAGAGTACTACACTCGGCTTTGAAACTGAGACAAATTGAGAACGCTGTTAAAAGGCTTTCAAAATCATCAATATTGTAAATAGAGACATAGGGCCAGATGTCCATTTGAGTTCGGGAAAACCTGATCTGCACACCTCGGCAGCTTGCCAAATGCACACCTAGCTCGTGCTGTTTGCGTCAATGGGGGATTTATGACTTTTCGGATTCACGATGCACTTCGTGAGTTCTGAGGGAGTCTTTTCTTAATAATTCATGGGAGATGGGTTTCACCGGCCAGCTCAGCATTTATTGCCCATTCCTAATTGCTCACAGAGTAATTAAGTGTCAACCACTTTAATGTGGGTCTAGATTCACAGACCAGTCCATGTCAGGTGAAGATGGCAGATTTTTTTCCCTAAAGTTCATTAGTGAACCAGATGGTTTTTTATAACATGATTGCCATAAGACCATAATGACTAGGAGCAGCAGTATGCCATTCAGCCCCTTGAGCCTGCTATGCCATTTAATACGATCATGGCTAATCTCACCTTGATCTCAACTGCACTTTTCTGCCTACTCCCTTTAACCCCTTAACCCATTACTCATTAAAAATTTGCGTATCGCCTCCTTAAATTTATAAATGTACTGGCACCCACCATACTCTGGGAGAGTGAATTCCACAAGTTCACAATGCTTCTCTTTTTAAATCTGCCACTCCTTAGTCAAAAACTATGACTTTTCATTCTAGATTTCTCCACAAGGAGAACCATCCACTTGACAACTAATTTGTCAATCCCCTTTAGCATTTTATATTCCTCAATTATATCTCCTGTCTTTCTTATAAAGTCAGGTGAGTGTGGCCATGATGTGGAGGTGCCGGTGTTGGGCTGCGGTAGACAAAGTCAGAAGTCACATGACTCCAGGGTAAGGTCCAACAGGTTTATTTGAAATCACAAGCTTTGGCGTGCTACTCTTTGTCAGTTCACCATTTACCATGGTGAGACTCAACCCCGTGTCTCTTCTTGGCCCAATGACATTACTGCTGATTCAAGGGGGGAGAAAAGTACTTTAAGTGCCGATTAGGTATGTAAGCAAACAAGAAACCACAGCAAAGATTTTTGGCTCCTATAAGCTTTGTCCGTACTTGGATCAACCTATGATGAAGCTTTTGAAACCCCACCAAACATTCATAGTAGACTTGCTGTTAGATAGAAAGACTTCTGTTTTCACTGACACACAATGACTATTTCTGCTATTTCAAAGCAGAGTACCTGCCAATCAATGCCAAAGCAGATGCACGTTATTTCTTTCCTATCTTTTGAAGGAAATTTCCTTGAAAAGAATCATCCCAATCTACTATTCTCATTGATTTGGAATACAAAAATATGACCACAGAGGATATGTGTTTAAATGTTATGCCATTTTCTCTGTTGGAAAAGTACTGTAATACATGCAAACTATTGCACAATGCTGATCATTGTTGGGATCAATTTAGTTCCTAAAAAATATCGAAGTGTGGCCATTCACAGACTGAAATGCTCTGCTGCACCCAGAGAACAATATACCAGGTACAGTACAAATAACATATCGTTACAATGAGCCTTTGTAAAACCCAGGTTAGGCTTCAGCTGGATGATTGTGGCCAATTCTGGACACCATACCCTAGAACATAGAACATAGAACATTACAGCGCAGTACAGGCCCTTTGGCCCTCGATGTTGCGCCGACCTGTGAAACCAATCTGAAGCCCATCTAACCTAAACTATTCCATTATCATCCATATATTTATCCAATGACCATTTAAATGCCCTTAAAGTGGGCGAGTCTACTATTTTTGCAGGCAGGGCATTCCACGCCCTTACTACTCTCTGAGTAAACAGCCTACCTCTGACATCTGTCCTATATCTATCACCCCTCAATTTAAAGCTGTGTCCCCTCGTGCTAGCCAACACCATCTGAGGAAAAAGGCTCCCACTGTCCACCCTATCTAATCCTCTGATCATCTTGTATGTCTCTATCAAGTCACCTCTTAACCTTCTTCTCTCTAATGAAAACAGCCTCAAGACCCTCAGCCTTTCCTCATAAGACCTTCCCTCCATACCAGGCAACATCCTGGTAAATCTCCTCTGCACCCTTTCCAATGCTTCCACATCCTTCCTATAATAATACCCGAGGAAGGGTGTCAAGGAGGGTGCAGAGGAGATATACTGGAATGAACTTTGAGATGAAAAACTTCATCTGTTGTGTTCAGTTCTGGTCACCTCATTATGGGAAAGATGTGGAAGCTTTAGAGAGGAGTGCAGAGGAGATTTAGCAGGATGCTGCCTGGGCTGGAGGGCAGGTCTTATGAGGAAAGGTTGAGGGAGCTAGGGCTTTTTTTATTGGAGCGAAGAAGGATGAGAGATGACTTGATAGAGGTGTACAAGATGATGAGAGGCAGAGATAGAGTGGATAGTCAGAGACTTTTTCTCAGGGCAGAAATGACTATTACAAGGGGACATAATTTTAAGGTGATTGGAGGAAGGTATGGGGAGATGTCAGAGGTAGGTTCTTTACACAGAGAGTGGTGAGGCCATGATCTGTATCATCTCCAATCCTGTGAAATCTACTAGACTAATCACATCAGAAGTTTTCAAGAAACTTGGTGTCTACAACACAAACAAAATATTTGGACTGGATGTGGTCAGGGCCAGCACCTTCATTAGTGAACTGAAAAACCTTGATGCAGCACGTGTGTCTGTCCCTGTGGCTGGAGGTCATGCTGGAAAGACCATCATTCTTCTGATCTCTCAGTGCAATTCTAAAGTTGAATTTCCCCAGGACCAGCTGGACGCCCAGGCTGGGACAGAGGTGGTTAAAGCCAAGGATGGCGCAGATTTATCTTCTCGCTATTTGATGCTATGAATGGTAAAGGAGTGGTGGAATGTGCATTTGTCAGGTCTGAAGAAATTGAGTCACTGTATTTCTCTGCACCTCTGCTGCTTGGGAGAAATGGTATTGAGAAGAATCTTCGACAAGTAAAGCTATTGGCTTTTAAAAGCAGCTTATAGCTGAAGCTATGGGTGAACTGGAGGGCTCTATCAAGAAAGGGGAGTACTTTGTGAAGAAAATAGATAAGTGGTTGCGTTGAAATGTAAAGAATGGGAAAACTCCAACCTGTTGCAAATATCCCAACACAAATGGCATTGGTCATTGTTGTATGTCTGTCTGTTTGCTTGCTAGCAGTTTCTAAGCCTCAATTTGCCATGACAGATCTCAAAACTCATTACATTACTAGCACCATTTCTCAACATCGTGTGCAGATTCTATTTCTTCTAATGAAGACCAATCAATCTTGTAACATGTATTACATTTTAAAGACTGAGCAACAGGACATCTAAAGCTTGACTTAATGTAAATGTGTTCTGTGATTGAAACAATCTTGTCTGACAGGTTTTCTAAAGCTGGAGTAAATGAAACTTGGATGCTAAGTTCTGAGCTATTTTTAATCATTTTCTGTGGAACAATTAGTTTGACATGCTGTAGTTGGGGAAGTTGCTGGAGTCAATAATTAAAGAGGAGATAACTGAGCACTTGGGGAAAAAAAACATAACTCCATTCACCAGCATCAGCGTGGTTTTATGAAGGGCAAGTCATGCTTGACAAACTTGCTGGAGTTCTTTGAGGATGTAACCAGCAAAGTGGATAATGGGGATCCGGTGGATGTGGTATATGTAGACTTCCAGAAAACATTTGACAGGTGCTGCTTAAAAAAGTGATCCAAAGGTTAGATCCCAGGGAGTTAAGGGGAGAGCATTGACTTAGATAGAAGATTGCCTGACTGACAGAAAGTAGAGGGTTGGGAATAAAGGGGTCCTTCTCTGGGCGCTGAACCATAACTAGTAGGCTGTCGCAGGCTTCAGTTCTCAGACCTCAACTACTTACAATCTATATAAATGATCTGTAAGCAGGGATAGAGTGTAACAAAATTCATGTAAAGATAGGTGGGAAAGCAGACTGTGATGAAGAGATAAAGATTTTACAGATAGATATTGATAGGCTAGGAGAATGGGCCAGAATCTGGCAGGTGGATTTTCATGTGGATAAGTGTGAGGTTGTCCATTTTGGCCAGAAAAATAAAATAATTATTTAAATGAGAAACCGATTCAAAGTACGTCAGTGCAGAGGGATCTGGGTGTCCTGGTGCATGAATCACAGAAGGTGGGGTATGCAGGTGCAGTAGGTAGTAAGAAAGGCAAATGGAATCCTTGTATTTATTGCAAAAGGACATTTAAATGTATTCATAGTTATTTTGGCCTTCTTGAACAGTTTTAAATTTTGTTGTTTTTTCAGGTGGTTTCTGGTGAATTCAGTGAAGATAGTGAGGTCTACAACTTCACATTGCAGGCTGGTGATGAGCTGACACTGATGGGCCAGGCTGAGATTCTCTGTGCCAAGACAGTAAAAGAAAAATCCCGCTTCAACACTCTATTGCGAAAATTGGGCAAAACAAGCACTCTAAGCAAACAGGTCAAAGGCAAGATGCCATGCCTCATCTGCATGAACCACAGGACCAATGAGAGCCTTAGCCTTCCCTTCCAGTGCCGGGGAAAGTTCAGCACTCGTAGTCCCCTTGAGATGCAGATGCAGGAAGGAGAGCACACCATCCGCAGTATTATTGAAAAGGTTCGACTACCAGTCAATGTCACCGTTCCTTCTCGTCCACCCCGCAACTCTTATGACCTCCATTGTATCCGTGAGGGACATCGCTATAAACTTGTCAGTATTATATCAAAGACTGTAGTCTTGTGCTGTATCATTCGTAAGGATGACATTATCCCTTTGCACTTTCTGCTGCTGTCAGACATGCCCAGGTTTGTGCTTCCTGAAGGGTTAATCCGAGGCAACCCTCTTTATGAGAGGTTAGTGCAAGAAATAACTTTGTTTAGCCAGGAGCGTTTCAATGCTGATGAGTACTCAAAGGCAGTCCGAGAAGTTAAAACAGATTTTACTGATGACTGCACTAGTCCAAGAAGAATCAGAGTTTGCTTGCAAGGATATACAACTAATTCACTGAATTATGCCCAGAACGAGCTGACTCAATCATTTCAAAGGCTCTCCCTGTGTGCTTTCAGCGGTGCTGTGTTGCAAAACAGTGGGGAGGTTACCTTCCAGAATTGTAGGGATTCAATTGGGGAGCAGCAGATCATGCCACATGAATTACTAACTCCTCCAGAGGTGGCTGACATGGACAGAGAATATATGACACCTGACTGGACAGGAAATTACTTCAGGACTCAAGAGCAGCCTGAAATTCCCTATGAGGAACTATGGACCAATCAAACACTCGATAATTCAAAGGATTCCTGTGATGTGGTGACAGAAAGTGAGATCAAGACACAGCAGAGCTCCGTCTCTTTCTACTCTCATTCTTCCATGTCCCCCAGTGAGGATCCTGTTCTGACAACTCATCTGACTATGTTAAAAATGGGAGAGTCGAGAATGCCGAGCCCACCCCCTGTACCTCCAAAATCAGAAGCAGTAAGTATCATAGCAAATGGATCAAGTCTAAGTTTTTTCTTTATTGTTTAACTGCAAGGGACATAACTGTGGGATGGTTCATTCTGTATTAATCCTACAATACACTGCAGTCAGGGACAATGAAAGATGGGTTCATGCCAGCAAGTCTCAAATATCAAGTTTTCTGTCTAAGTTCTGCAGGAGGCACAAAGTGGAGATGATAATACAGGTGTTATGAATTCATCCTCTTGGCATGGAGCTGCCCATGCTGGGCATACAATACCTAGATTCCAGGCACAGAAGGTAATGGTCTGCATGGAATTATGTCTATTTAAGAAACTAATGGGCCAAATATTCTGCAATGTTCACAGAAATCTGATTCCAAGTATGTATCCCTGATACCTTCAACTCACTGGTTGCTCAATTTTCTAGCCTGTTAGGATTCTAGTTGCTGAAATGGTCACCAAGACCCATTTCGGACAGGCCCCATTCATTTCAATTTCTGATGCCATTAATATATGTTAGACATAAATCTGAAAAGTAAGTCAAAAATCTGTGCTGTTTATCTAAAACCAACAAGACGTCTAACAGCAATTTATCAACAGTGGTGCTTAAACGGATTACATGTAGATTAGTCATAAAACATGACAGTTTTAATATTACTAATCAATATCTCTGTACATTATATTTGGGTTCTAGCCCATTTAAAATATTGTACAGAGAATTTTTGAATGAATTTTACAATTAATGATATCACAGTCCAACTTTAAGGCAGTAATGTTTGCAAAACTATAGATTAGATTTGTCAATTTGATGAATAAGCATTTAATTTCTATAAATAGGCAGGTTATAGATGCTTTTATATTTAGCGATATCAGTATTTTCTACATTCGGGTTATCTAAAATGTTTCATTTTGAGACTAAGATGTGTCTTACTGGAATGATTTTCGATCATATCGAGTGCAACATTTTATTGCAAAAGGTGTAAGAGCTTTTACAGTACCTTTAAATCTTAATACCCATTAATCAGAATTTCACTTTGGTAAAGTATTTGGTAGGAGTAATAGTAAAAAGGATTATTACTTGAATGGTAAAAAGTTGCAGCATGCTGCTATGCAGAGGGACCTGGGTGTCCTTGTGCATGAATCACAGAAGGTAGGTCTGCAGGTACAACAAGTAATTAGGAAGGCAAATGGAATTTTGTCCTTCATTGCTAAAGGGATTGAAATAAAAAGCAGAGAGGTTATGTTGCAGCTGTACAAGGTGCTGGTGAGGCCACACCTGGAGTACTGTGTGCAGTTTTGGTCTCCTTACTTGAGAAAGGATGTACTGGCACTGGAGGGGGTGCAAAGGAGGTTCACTAGGTTGATTCCGGAGTTGAGGGTGTTGGCTTATGAGGAGAGACTGAGTAGATTGGGATTATATTCATTGGAATTCAGAAGATTGAGGGGGGATCTTATAGAAACATATAAAATTATGAAGGGAATAGATAAGATAGAAGTAGAGAGGATGTTTCCACTGGCAGGTGAAGCTAGGACAAGAGGGCATAGCCTCAAGGTTAGAGGGAGCAGATTTCGGACTGAACTGAGAAGGAACTTCTTCACCCAGAGGGTTGTTAATCTATGGAATTCCTTGCCCAATGGAGTAGTTGACGCTACTTCAGTGAATGTTTTTTAAAAAAAAGGTAGATTTTTTTTGAACAATAAAGGAATTAAGGGATACGGTGAGAACGCGGGTAAGTGGATCTGAGTCCACGAAAGGATCATATTGAATGGCGGAGCAGGCTCGAAGGGCCAGACGGCCTACTCCTGCTCCTAGATCTTATGTAAAGAAAGACTGCCTCTTGTCTAACATGTATAAATTGATTCTGTAATTTATTCTTAATTTCATTTTGTGTAAACCTGTTCTGCCAATGTCTTTTTGGAGATGTGATTAATACGCAAACATATTACAAGACCTATCTTACTGTATTTTCAAAATGACCCTTTAAATTAATATCTCCTGAAGTTACAAATGAATCATGTTTGACTTGATTTCACAAATCCTGCTTAGCTTCCTGGACATCCTGCACAAGTGCCTATCCAAGAAACAAAATAACCTTAGAAAATAAGTGTACGTTGCAGGGTCTGTGCTGAGAAGGAAGTAGCGGAGGGTGGAATCATCATAGCCAAGACTGATCTGGCTGTACTCAAACCACACCTCAACCCAAAATAGACAGACTGTTATGGACCAGACCAATCACCTCCAATTGTATCAAGGACATAGCCTAGACACTAACTTTTATCTTATTTAAAGGCAAGTGTAAGGTGCTGTGTTCCAGATGTAATTTGACTGGTTAAACTACTCGGCTTTAAGCAAAATACACTTAATTCTTATTCCACAGTTAAAATACAAACAAGTGAAAGAAGAATTAGTCTAACTTTAACTCAGTTGGAAAACTTAATGAAATAATAGATTTTTTTTAACTACTAACAGCAATGCAGTAACATCCCATAAACACATCTTTAGCAAAGACAAATTCAGTAAAATAGATTGTCTCACATGCAATTCTCCAGTCCAGGAGGAAAGCACGTCAAGAAAAAGTTCTGGCAGAGAGAGATAAAGCAGCTCTCATACTCAACTTCAAAACACCAACAACTACTGAAAGCTAAACTAAAACCCTGGTTCTATGGGAGCCTGACTCCATCCATTCATGCTGTTTCTAATGCTCTAACTTTTAAAAACAAACACCTCAAGGCTTCACAAGCTGTTTACCTTATTGGCTTGGATCAGACTGCTCTGAACCTCTACTTTGACTTCTCATGTAGAATCCCTCCCTACAGTGTGGAAACAGGCCCTTTGGCCCAACAAGTCCATACCGACCCTCAGAGCATCCCACCTAGACCCATCCCCCTATATTCCACCTAGCCTACACATCCCTGCGCACTAGGGGCAATTTAGCATGGCCAATCCACCTAGCTTGTACATCTTTGGACTGTGGGAGGAAACCGGAGCACCTGGAGGTGGCCGATGGCCTAGTGGTATTATCGCTGGACTGTTAATCCAGAGACCCAGTTAATGTTCTGGGGATCTGGGTTTGAATCCTGCCACGGCAGATGGTGGAATTTGAATTCAATAAATATCTGGAATTAAGAATCTAATGATGACCATGAATCCATAGTCAATTGTTGGGAAAACCTATCTGGTTCACTAATGTCCTTTAGGGAAGGAAACTGCCATTATTACCTGGTCTGGTCTACATGTGACTCCAGACCCACAGCAATGTGGTTGACTCTTAACTGCCCTCTGGGCAATTAGGGATGGGCAATAAATGCTGCCTGGTCAGCGACACCCTCGTCCTGTGAATGAATGAATAAAGAAAACAAAAATAAAACAAAGAACCATTAATACATAAAGATGGCTTCATTTGTAACACCCTTTAGTCTTATGCTGTTAGAACACTGCAATACATATATGCTACAATGACTCTAAGCATGCAAATATTCAATACTATTGTCCATTTCAATCCATTTCTTCTGCCACTGTGCATCTTTTTATTCCTTCATCAAAGTCATGACAACACCTCAGCAATTACATTCTCTCGTCCTGCCATGTTTATAATTTTCAAATTAATTTGCTGTCACAATGAACTCCATCAAAACAGTCGGGTACTTTTATCTTTAAATTTTTCCAGAAATGTTAAGGAGCTACGATCAGTATATACAACTGTCTCAGACACATTACTGGCAACATAAATGTTGAAATGTTGCAATGCCAGCACCGAACTCAAGGTCTTCTCAATTGTGTACTATTTCTGTTGATGAAATGTTGATGAAACTTTGTGGAAAATTACCCAATAGGTCTTGCCATTTTCTCATTGTCTTCTTGTAAGAGTACAGCACCGACACCCATATTACTTGCATTGATAGCTGTCTTGAATGGCTTTGCATAACTAGATGTGGTTAACAATGGGGCAACGGTTAACACAGCTCTCAGTCTGTCAAATGCCTTCTCATATTCCTCCATTCACTGAAACTTTCTGCACTTCTTCAACAATTCAAACAGTGGAGCAACCACGCTGCTAATATTTGTTACAATTTTGCGATAACATACACTTAGTCCCAGGAATTGTAATGCTGCTGTCTTTGTTGATGATATGGGAAACTCCCCCGTAATCTTTGTTTTCACATCCCATGAGTCTATCTCTCTGTGTCCAGTGATATGGCCTGGGAACGTGACTTGGGCTTTTGTAAACTCACTCTTAGCCAGGTTTATCACCAAGCCTGCCTTCTGAGATCAATCGGACAATTCCAACAGATCCTCCAAATGTTCCTAAAAATCACCAGATTTTCCATGTACACCACACAATTGGGTAATCCTGAAATGACTTTATTGGTTAGTGTTTGGAATGTAACTGGTGCATTTTTCACATCAAATGGCATAACTTTAAACTGGTAAAAGCTGAAATTTCTTTCACTCTCTTGGATAAAGGTAACTACCAGTATCCTTTAAATAAGTACAGCTTTGAAATATAAGTTGCCTGTTCCAGTTTTTCAATGCACTCCTCCAGCTGTGGAATATGATATGAATCAGGTTTCATAGCAGCATTGACTTTGCAATAGTTAACGTTGGGTACTATCTTGTTTTGGCACCACTGCAACAGGTGAGCTCCATTTGTACCAACTCACTTCGATTATATTGTCTTTGAGTGTGCATTCAGTCTATTTTTGAACCTGTGCCTATTCTGGAGGGTTAGGACAATAAGCAAATTGGTTAATTAGGACAGCATTTGTTGTATCTGCATCATGCATAATCATCCCAGCTTCTTCCCACATATCTCTCCATGTGATTGTAATAACTGTTTCAGGTAATTTCAGTTTTCCTCTGGAAGCTAACTCAGTAATTTATCCCAATTTTTGAGAACTTCCACATGATCCAATTTAATTTGAGGTATATCAAATTCGAATTTATCTGGAATTGGTTCTTCACTCTGGGTTGTAACTGGTACCACATTCTCCTTTTGCTTCCCTTCCTTATCAAAA